AATATTAATTATAGTACTGCTAGAATGCAATTTTTAAAAAGCAGTGGTATTTGTGAGTCTGCATATCCATTTATAACACAGTATTTGACGCAGCAGCTCTGCAAGATAAATGCCAAGATATTTATAGAAGCGGGTACCAAGTCAGAGATTGCTCCCTAAACCTCTGTTTTGTCTAATTAAATATAATTAATTGTATAGGTAAATTAATTACCCAATCATATGGGTCATTGAGACAAATTAAACAAAGATCTGAAAAGCCAAGTGAAAAGAGAAATATCAGGAGCAATTGCATTTTGGAAAAAGCTCCGAGGGATTTCAAATCTTACTCACACAAATAAATTTTGCACTATCGGGCATGACAATATTGCTGACTTTCATGTTGGCATGGAATGATGAATGTTTTATAACAGTACAAAATTTCAAAACATTAATAAGTATTACAAAATTTTACTTATAATCTTGCAAAACTTGCGAAGTAAGGAAACTGATCTGTTACTGATGTCACCTGAGGCACTCCACTTCAATGTCAACAATTAGATATGATAGTACAGAAATCACGATGTTGAAATTGCTTTGCTAAGCAAGAAATTATTTTGTAGCTCTCTCTAAACTAACCAGTTTAGAGATCTGGCAGATCATACCATAAAAATAAATGCATGCATCTCTTTCCAAAAGAATGAAGTTTCACAGATTTAGTTTCACTTTTCTCCTCACCTTCCCCATAATCAATGTGTGGATTGGTTCCATGGTATACATATCAAGGAATGAAAATCTGTAAAATCCGCGCATAATCTGGCAAACCTTTCCAGTGGTGAATAACCTTGATTCCACTAAGTTCACCAGAGTGAGTAAGTCACAGAGCAGAAGAGGTCATCTCCTGACCTAAAGCCTGCGGCCAGGCTTGTGCTCTTGTATGTCTCCCACATAGTCTAAAAAGTCACAGTAAGATCCTGGTCTCCATCAATAGCAATGTTCCATTTATTTCAATATTTAAATAGATTAATCTGACTTGCTTTAGATGCCTATACTAGGAAAATATGGATTTCACCTTATGGTGAGGAATGAAATTTTTCTCTGCTGACTGTAAAATGAGCAGAGGATGACTAAATCAGGTAGAGGCATGTACAGAATCAATGCTTACATTTTCACACATACGTTTGAAATGGGGGGGGGGGGGGATTTTTTTTTTTTAAAAGAGCTTTTGAAAAACCCCGGCGGGGGGGGGAAAATGC